TTTTTTTCTCCAGTCTCCAAGTAGCTCCAGTTGGCCTAGAACTAGGAACTCTCTATGTAGACTAGGCTGGTCTTGATCTCACAGAAATCTGCCTGTTTCTGCTGGAATTAAAGGTATGTACCACCATGCTTGGCTTATTTAGTTTTCTGAGAGGAGTGCCTCAAAGCTGGCCCCAAACCCCTAGGTTAATCAATCCTTTTCTGCCTCTCAAGTAGCTGGACTATAGGCTTGAACTATTATGCTCCAAATAAAGTATGCCAGCACTCTGGAACCTGAGGCAGGAAGATTACCATTATGAGTTCAAGGATACCCTGAGCTACAAAGAGAAACTGTCAGAAAGAGAAAAGAAAAAAGGAAAGGAGGAGGGGAGAGGGAGAGAGGAAGGGAAAGAAACAGGTTCACAGAAACTAAAATAACTAAAACAATGCTGTATACATAACCACACTTAGAAGAACCATTATGTGGGGCTGGAGAGGCAGCTCAGCGGTTGAGAGCATTGACTGCTCTTGCAGAGGACCTGGGTTCGATTCCCAGAACCCACATAGTGGCTATGAACCGTCCTTAATTCCAGTTCCAGGGGAATCCAAAGCTCTCTTCTGACCTCCATGGGCACTGCATGACACGGGTGCACTCACATACATATGCAGGCACTACACTCATACACATAAAAACAAAAACCAGAACCGTTACATGTTCTCCAAAAAGGGTGCTGACACTTTGTCCTTACTGGGACAAAGGGAAAACAAACTCCCGTGTCTAATCAAATGGGAGCAGTTCTCCACGAGTTACTGCACAGCTAGCATTGAGAAGCAGGACCCAACATGAAAACAGGAGACACAGATGTGCAATACAAGTGAAAGCCTGCCCTAACTTTCAGCTGCCAGGTATCAATGACACAGGAAGGTGTGCTTCACTGCCCACTAGAAAACCCAGACAATGACTGACTGCTCGCCCAGAACAAAGAGCTCAGCTCTGTGTGTAAACTCCACTTCATAAGGAAAAGAGGGGCTTACTGAAGAGAAGACACACTCATCAGAGCCTGTCACAGCCCAGCATGCAGCAAGGCTTTGGCACCTGGACTGCAGGGCCTTGGCAGGTAACTGCTAAGACTCCTCACCCACACTCCCACTGATACAGCAGAAACTGAAACTCAACTATTCCGAATGCTGCTGAGAATGTGGGGTAATTAGGACTAAGAGAGTGCTGTGTGTGAAACAGTATCGTGACCGTGGAAGCTTTGGCACTTTCCTCTAAGTTAAACATCAGATCAAGCTGATGGTCCGGTCCTCCCACTCCTCCACACTGATTCCTTAATACTTCATGTCATTCATTCATTCATTCATTCATTCATTCATTCATTCATTCATCCATCCATCCATCCACTCACTCACCCATCCATCCATCCATCCATCCATCCATCCATCCATCCATCCATCCATCCATTCATCTTTTTGAGAGAGGGTCTCCCCGTAGCCCCAGCTGGCCTGGAACTCACTATGTAGACCAGGCTGGCCTCAATTTCACAGAGATCCACCTAACTCTGCCGCCTGAGTGCTGGGATTAAAGGCGTGCACCACCACGTCTGGCCTGAACACAGTTAATTTTGATTACATTTACCCCTTACGGCTCTCCCTCAATCCCAGATCCATCCATCCCCCCAATGCCTTCCAACTTCCTTTTTTTCTTTTTCTGTAACCCACTGAGTCCAATTTGTGCTGCATATATACTTGTGGGAATTGGGTTATCTAATGGAGCATGATCAATCTACCAGGAGCCACACCCTTTAAAAAAACTGACCCTTGGGTACACCTTTGATCCCAGTATTTGGGAGGCAGAGGCACTTAGATCTCTGTAAAACTGAGGCCAGCCTAGCCTAAATAGTGAGTTCCAGGCCAGCTGGGGCTATAGGGAAACCCTGTCTCAAAACACCACCACAAAACAAAAACTCAAAAACTGTGCACTTCCAACTTACCATGCACAGATGTCAATACAGTAAATTTTAAAATTTTAAATGTTTATTATTTGTGTGTGTCCTTGTGTGCATACCTCTTGGCACATGTGGAACTGAGAGGACAACTTGTAGGAGTCAGTTCTCTCCTTCCACCAAGTGTATTTTCCAGGGATTATACTCAGGTTGTCAGGGTTGGTGGCAAATACCTTTACCTGCTGAGGCATCCCACCAGCTCAATAAAGTAAAAAAATTGTTTTTGGTTTTTGAAACAGGGTCTCATTATGTAGCCCTGGCTGGCCTGGAACTTACTGTGTAGGTCAGGATAACCTTGAACTCACAGAGATCAGCCTGCCTCTGCCTCTCAAGAGTTGGGATTAAAGGTGTGCACACCATGCCTTACCAATAAAGTAAAATTTTAAGAGGCCACAGATTAATTATAACTCATCGAGGGAATCAGGAATCCACAAGTTCACAATAACTCCTGCACACGAGGTGCATTAGGTAGCAGTCAGAAGCAGAAGGACAATCAGGTAAGATCTGGATGTAGAGCTGGTCTCAGGGTTCTAGGACCACCAACGGGGGACACTGAAATCCTGTAGCTGCTCAAGTCCCTTCTACCACGTGTCAAGAGTATTTGCCTGCACTTTAGCTTGCTGAAGTATCTGTATACTTAATAAAACACAACTGTAGTCCACATTGGACACTGCCTGTTTAGGGAGTAATGACCTGAACAAGTCTGTACCTGTGCAATCCAGTGTGCTTCTCTCTTTTAAGTTTAGATGAGCCTGTCAGTACGGAACCAAGATGTAAAGCCTATGCTACACTTCTGGCTGAGAAAGTTGTAGGAGGAAACAGATGACCCATCCCTGGACTCCAGAGCAGAGCCACTGGTAGGAGGCATGCCCATCACGCCAGCTTACCTGCCTTCCTTTTCCGTTTTGCAGGGACACGAGGAGTCAGGGAGCGCTGGTACACAGCAGTGCTCAGACCAGTGGCGACAGCCTCGATAGTCTCATCCAGCAGAGAAGACATGAGGTATCTTGGCACATGCTGCACACAAGGAACAGGGCCACTCAGTAAGTAACCACCCTTTCCAAGGAGGAGACACTGAGCAGGACCATGTGAGAGGACAGTGCTACTGCAAACTTCCCCTCAGAACCCTGAATATGGCCCAGCAACGTTGACAAAAGAAGCCTGAAGAGTCTGGAGCTGTTACCACCTCTGTCTACTTGCACCAAGAATGGCCAGCACAACCACGAAAAGTGTTTTCTAGCAGAGATTCTAGGGGGCAAGCTCAAAGCAAGAACAGACTAGGAGGTTCAGCAGCTATCATGGAGCAAATGGAGGTCCAAGCAAGGAGGAGGAAGGGGCAGACAGGGCAGAGCCCTGCCCCCCAATGAAGCAGGCATGTGGCGAGCAGAGTCTCAGAGGGACTAAGGAAAGGGCAGGAAGAAAGGAGAGTAAGAAAGAGCACTCAAAGGCTGTGTTGCATCCAGAACATGAACAAGAAGAGGAGGGATGGTGGGCATCAGCTGAAGCCCACATACAGCAGTGGGGTAACAGATAGGTCTTAGTCTTCCCAATCCACTTGGAACTTGGGTCAGGATGTCACTATAGTGGCCTTAGGAACATGACCTCGTAAAAGGAACTTTCAAGCTGCCTCAGCACCCAGAACAGAGGCCACAGACATCTAACACTGAGTGCCAGGAGGCAGACACAAGGAAGGTATTCTTACTTACCTGGAAGTAAGGCCTGTCACACTATAGGGAATTTCCTATGATCATCATTCCATCCAAATTATTTGAGAGGGCAGTCCCTCTGGTCCCTCTGGTCCCTCTGGGCTGGACTGGTGCAGAGGTGAGTGCCTTCAGGACACTCACCTGCCCTCTTGCCAGGCTGAGTACATACCTGCCAGGCCTGCCCTTTAAGTATGCTGTAGACCCTGCACTGCCAGTGGTATCTCTTCAGTCCAATCCCCCAGTCTTGAGACCACCCTAAGCAGGCCCAGCCCAGTGCTGGTCACCTACCTGAACCCTTCTGGCAGATGAGATCCTGTTCCGGTTTACAGTGGCCCTCACTCTCTCACTCTGTCGTGTCCTGGCGATGGCTCGGGTCCTGCCCACACGAGGCCGCAGCCTGCTGGTGGTGGGTACCACGTCGGCCAGTAACAGTGAGACCTCCTCATCACTCACAGGAGCTGTGTCTTATAAGAGAGCCATGGGCTGCTGAGCATTTGCTCTGCACATTACAGGCTCTCCCAACAGGCTACCCAACCTAAGTCCTCTAGACCTCAAGGACTGAAAGTCCCAATCAACAACCCACCATGGCTTCCAAAGGTTACGCTGCTTCATCTCCTACCTAGGAGCCCACAGAAAGCCCTATCCCTGATGGAGGTTCTCCCCACACAAGTTCTGATTTTCTCCAAGGTCCTTCTCCAACACTGACAAGAGTGACCCAAGTACTTTGTAGAACAGGACAGCACATTACCATGAGTGGAGGCAGCACCAGGGGTGACACACTCTGGGCAGAACCACTCATCCACAGGTACCTCCTGGAGAGGAGGATCTAAACATTCCATGTGGTACCTATGGGAACAAGAGGTACAATGTCAGTCCTGGCCTTGGACCCTGAATCCTACAAGCACACCAAGTTGCAAAGATGGCATCCAAAAATACACCTAGTCTGAAGTGTACCCTGTTACAGACTGAACAGCATCTCCATGTTTTTAAGTGCTCATGTATGTTTTGGTCCTTGAACACAGCCCCTGCCTCCAACCCCTCCTCCAAAGTAGGTCATGGAAACCGTAGGTCATGGAAACTTGTTTCTGACCCACTGTGTCTGACAGTAGATGATCAAATCACTTTCCTTTTCAGAAAGAGTCCTAAAGGCCTAGAGACCTAACACTTGTCTAACAGAAGCTCTGCTCCACGCTCAAAGATAATCATGCAGAATCTGGACAAAGGTCTTACTACCTGATGGCACTGGCCATGCCTTCCTGCCAGTCACATTTCAACACAGTTGTCCATGCTCCAATCACACCACACCAGTAAGTCTCCTTAAGACCCTCAAGAAAAGGGCACAGAAAATTTCAAAGAGCTAAGCACAAGGAAGTTCTTGAAGGGTCCAGAAAGGACATGGAAGCTCTGTACCCAGTCCCTGCCTCACCCTCCATTTTTTCGGTCCATGTCTCTGTAATATTCTCTCTAATAAAACTGTCAGCATGTTTTTCTGAGTCTTAAGGGCCACTGGAGAAATTTAATTGAATCCCAGGACTGCAATTGGCACCCAAGAGGGTGGAGTCAGCCTTGGGGACCAGGCCCTTGTCCGTAGGAACTGATGCCACTTCAGATGGCCAGAATAAAATGACAGGACTGACTGGTGTGTGAGGACAGACCCTATACCTAGAGTCCAAAATGATCTGTAGGGCCTGGTGTGGTGGCGCACACCTTTGATCCCAGCACTTGGGAGGCAGAGGCAGATGGATCTCTCTGAGTTCAAGGCCAGCCTGATCTACCTAACGAGCTCCAGGCCAGCTGGGGCTACAAGGAAACTGCCATCTTAAAAAAAAAAAAGGACCAAAAAAAGTGATCTGTGGGTAAAGTTCAGTTGGGTCAGTTGGGGAGGCTGAGTCTTAAGTTTCATTCTTTCTATCAGATCCCATAACTCACCAATTTAAGTCCTAGTGTCATAATATTTTGAGATAAGAGTGTTATGGAGGTCATAGGACAGGGCCTGGAGTGGTTTGAATGAGAACGTCCTCCAGAGGCTCAAGTGTTTGAACAACTGGTCAGCTGGCGGCACTGTCTGGGCAGGAATCTTTAGGCAGTGTGGCCTTGCTGGAGGAAGTATGTGACTGTGGTGGGGCTTTGAGCATTCGGAGCTCTGTCCCACATCCAGTTACTCCTCTCTGCTCCTGCACCTGCTTGAAGATGTGAGTGCTCAGTGTTCTGTTCCCACTGCCTCCCACCATGCCTCCCTAGCCATGATGGACACTCTGGAACCATAAGCCCAATAAATTCTTCCTTCTGTAAGTTTCACTGGTCATGTGCTTTATCAAAGCAACAGAAAAGTAACTAACTGACCAAGAGGACAGATGTCCTCATGAGACAGCATAAATGAGAACTAGCCTCACCAAGAACCAATTAGCTGGACTGGCTTTTCCAGCCTTCAAGTTCTGAGGAAACAAAAGCTTGGTGTTGGCACCATCGGTCACACAGACACACAGACACACACAGACACACACACACACACACACACACCCGGCTAATGGCAATGTGTCGGACCATCGGATCTCCAGCGCTGGCTCTGGGTTCACAAAGTGACTGTGGCAAGTGCCTGCAGAGTCCTCCTTCCAGCCTGTTTTCCACTTCTTCCTACCCAAAGCCATTCACAAGGACTCTAAAAGTTTCAAAATCAGTACCTCATACTGAGTAAATAAAAAAGGTGTTTTGTTTGTTTTGTCAGAGCTAAACTGAAACATGGTCCAATCAGCAGCTTATTTTTAAAGATCTTTTCTCATATTCTGTCTGGGAACACGGACATTTAAAGAGGATTATAATTCTTTAGAAAAAAATGAATGATAAATTAAGACTTGTAAGTTGAAAGACAGCTATGAAAATAGAGAAAATGAAAATGTCAACAGTATGTAGATGCTTAGAAGTATGAAAAATCACTAATATGCATCAATTTTAATATTTCAGATCTATCATTGTAGGACGTTAATGTTTGCATTGTTTTATCTGTTAAGTGAAATACACAAATTAACATAACATGAGATTTACAATTTTTTTTTTTAAATCTTTTTGAGACAGGGTCTCCCTGTAGCCCTAAGTGTCCTGGAACTCACTATGTAGACCAGGCTGGCCTTGAACTTACAGAGATCCACCTGCCTCTGCCTCCCAAGTGCTGGAATTAAGGGTATGCACCACCATGCCCAGCGAGATTTATAATTTTTAACTTTCAATTAGAATCCTAATGAAACTGGAAAAATCCCCCAAAACTACTGTTAGAAGTAGTTCATACCTGCAATCCCAGCAATAGATAATTGTTGTAAGTTTGAAGCCAGCCTGGCTTCATGGGGGTGCACACTTGTAATCTCAACAGTCAAGAGGCCATGGCAGAAACACGATCCAGTCTAGGAACTAGAGGTCACACTGGGCAACACAGGGAGACTATGTCTTGAAAACAAACAAGCCAAGTGGTGAGTGCCTTTAAATCCACCACTTGGAAGGCAAAGGGAGGCAATCTCTTTAGAGTTTGAGGTCAGCCTGGTCCACATAGCCAGTTCCAGGTCAGTTAGAACTGTACAGAGACTTTATCTTAAAAAAACCCAACCAAACAAACAAACAAAACAAAACCAAAACCCCAAAATCACCAAGAGGGAGGACACAGTGGATGTTTGAAGATTTAAGATCCGTAGGGTTGAAGCATTCAATACATGGTGACAAAACATGGATTCAAGCTAGACAAGCTTCAGGAGGAAGAAGAGAAGACCACTCTGTACCATACAGAGTACTGACAGGAGGTCAGGTCCAGGTACCGAAAGGAGGACCTGCAGGAGCCTGGGAGGCAGACAGATGTTCACTGCACCAGTGGACTGTCCACAGGTGTGGGAGGTAGGACAGAACACCACCAGTGACAGGTGGAGCAGTTGTGATGACTGGTCACAGACCCAGCCTGCAGCATGGACAGTGAAAGACCTCCTACACAAACTTTGAAACTGCTACTTCCTGCTCCAGGGAACACTCCAGATGTAATATCCTCGCTGCTCCTTTTGATTCCTTTTAGGGAGACTATTTCCATAACTCTGTGGCCACAATTCTTTACCAGAAAAACTTTTCTAACTAATAGCTAAAGACCCAGCAAGAAGTTGAGGAAGTAAAGGGACCCACCTCAACCCAAAGACCAACAGTGAAGGAAGGACACTGGCAGAGTCCTGGAGGACAGGTCACATACACAGCACGTGTCCTTGACTCTCCTGCAGTGCTGGGATGAAGGGTAACTTCAAGCAAATCCAGAGAATGGGCAGAGATCAAAAAGTAAAAGGGGCCAGGCGTGGCAGTGCACACCTTTAATCCCAGCACTCGGGAGGCAGAGGCAGGCAGATCTCTGTGAGTTCAAGGCCAGCCTGGTCCACATACTGAGTTCCAGGATAGCTGGGGCTACAGGGAGACCCTGTCTCAAAAAGACCGAAGGAAAAAAAAAAAAAAAAAAAAAAAGAGTTCATACAATTCTTGCAGAGGACCAGAGTTCAGTTCTCAGCACCCATGTGGCTTACAACTGCCTGCAACTCTAGCTCCAGGGAATCTGATGCCTCTAGCTTCTGAGGGCACCTACACTAATGGACACATACCCACACACAGCCATACATTCACATAATTAAAAAGTAATCAAAGGGGCTGGAGAGATGGCTCAACAGTTAAGAGCACTGGCTGCTCTTGCAGAGGACCCGGGTTCGATTCCCAGCACCCATATGGCGGCTACGAACCATCCTTAACTCCAGTTCCAGGGGAATCTGAAGCCCTCCTCTGACTTCTGAGGCATTGCAAGACACAGGTGCACTCACATACATGCAGGCAATACACTCGTACACATAAAATAAAAACAATAAAAATAAAATATTAAAAAAAAAATCAAAATGGGGGATGGAGAGATGGTTCAGTGGTTAAGAGTACAGACCTGAGTTTGGGTCCCAGAACCCACAAGGAGGCTAACAACCACCCACAACTCCAATTCCAGGGAATCTGACACCCTCTTCTTACCTCTGGGGGCACTGCAAACACGGAAACACTTGCACACACAAACAAAACAAAACAAAACAAAACCCACATTCATACACACAAAATGAAAGAAATAGTAACAATAATAATAAAAAAAAGTGAAAGGACCCAGGTCAGCAGGACGATGAAGTTCAACAGCAATCCTCAGCCACCTGCCCACCGCCTGCTATCTTTTCTTAGGCTTGATGTAGTGCATAGCCACTGAGCAGCACTGGAGAAGCACAGATACGAGAACCAGGAAAGTCATCAGTGCCACTGCCTACGAGGCGTAGTCCTGCTAAGACTCTATAGCACAGCGGAGGCCTTGGTGTCTCATTTCCCACTCCTTTTCCCCATACACAGCCTACAGCCTGCACAATGGGTAGAAGGCCCCTCAATTCCCTTACCCAGCATCACAGCCATCACAGAGCAGGAGCCGGTCCTCACGGTCACTCCTACCACACACCTCACAGAAGGTCGGGTCCTCCTCCTCAGCCTCCTCATCCTCACGGGCTCTAGTGTTTTCCACTGGAATCTGAAGACAGAACTGTTGGTTACTTACTGGATGTATCTCAGAATCTGAGTGGTCAGTTTACAGCATGTCATGCATCTAATTCAGGGCTGATCTATTGGCCTAAGTTATCCTTGGGCTCCATGGGCCTAAGCCCTGAATTAAGAGTGACCTTTGTGTCTTCTCCACTGTAGGTAACATGAGGAAAAGAGAAGGCAAGAACTACACCTGAGAGAGCAGCCTGAGGCCTGCGGCCCAGTCACTGTGCAGAACACTGCATGGCGCAAGGGCACCAAGCGCTGCAGGCAATGTTGCAGAACATACACATGGGTGCAAAGAGCACAGGGCAGCGTTAAAGCAACAGTCACAAAAGCTCCAGGAACGACCTGGCAACATACAACATGTAGCAGATCTAGCCCAGTGGCAGAGTACTTGCCTAACACATGTGAGGCCCTAGGTTCTATCTCCAACCAAAGGATCAGAAGGTGAAGACCAAGAGAACTGAGAATTCAAAGTCAATCTCTGACACATAGTGAGACTTGCTGAGAGGCAGAGGCAGGTGGATCTCTATGAATTAGAGGCCAGCCTACTCTACATAGCAAGTTCTAGGCCAGCCAAGGCTACACAATAAAATCCTGTTTCAAAAAAAGTGGCTGGAGAGGTGGCTCAGCAGTTATGAGCACTTGTTGCTCTCCAGAGGACCTGTTTTCAATTCGCAGCCACCATGTCAGGTGGCATACAACCTCCTGTAACTGTAATTCCTAGAAGCCAATGCCTCCGGCCTCCTTGAACACCTGCATTTATGTACACATACCCACCCACAGACATACACATATACACATAATTAAAAATAAAAACAAGGGCCAGGTATGGTGGTACACTCCTTTAATCCCAACACTCAGGAGGCAGAGGCAGGCAGATCTCTGTGAGTTCAAGGCCAGCCTGGTCTACATAGTGGGTTTCAGGCCAGCTGGGGCTACAAGGGAGACCCTGTCTCAAAAAAATAAAAACGGAGGAAAAAGAGAGAAAAGGAGGGAGAGAGAGATGAGAAAGAAAGGAAGGAAAAGAAGAGGAGGAAGTGAAAGGAGAGTGGAGGGACAGGAACGCAAAGAAAGGGGAGGAGGAGAAAACAGAACAGGGCAAAGGCAAGCAGGGAGCACAGAGGAGACACCCTGCCTTCTAGCCCCCACAGTGAATCACCAAACAGGTCCTCCCAGATCTAGCCCGTGGGGGCCTCTGCTCCCCTGCCACCATCGCAGCAAAAAGGAGACAGGTCAGAGTGATGCTCTGCAATGGGAAGATGTAGGAAGTAGAAGCCCAGGAACCCCAACATCTCCACCAGGCGTGCTACTCAGCACCCCAGAGCAAACGGGCAGCACCAGCCCTGGGCTGTGCTCAGGGCCACCAAGGGCACTTCAGTCACTCTTTTTTAAGTCACACTGAATTGACACCTCCTCACTGAGAAAAGCAAGTCACCTTGTAAGAGCATGCTCCTTGACACGAAGACGCAAGCAGGGGTGGGCAGCGACTACACTTACCTTCTTTAAAATTTTACCATCAAGTCGAGCTCGAATACAAATACATTTAAATACTGTTCGATCAACTGGACAGGAGTTGGCATTCTGTGAGAAATAAAGACCACATCAGAATCCCAAAGAATCACTGTTACTTATTATACTATCTTCAAAATAAAGAATTTACTAAGAAATCAAAAATTTCAAGCTGAGTGTGGTGGTACATGCTTGTAATCCCAGCATTAACAGGAGGATTTTTAATTTAAGGCTAACCTGATCTACAGTAAGACTCTGCCTCAAAAACTCAAATTGGAAATTCCTTTTACCACTGAGCTTACCTTTACTGAAAGCCTCAGTGTGGCAGGTCTTCTGCTAAGAGGCCGGGATGTGGTAAAGAAAACAAAGGCCCACCTTGTGGAGCCACATCATGGAGGGAGAAAGGAGGCAGGTCAGCGGGGTGCATGTTCCCATACAGGTGGTCTGACAGTATGGAAGAAAAGTAGAGAAGAGGAGGGACAGGAGGGGCAGCATTTCAACCTGTTTGCTGCTGACCGGGGTTCTCCCTCAAACCCCTGTGAACTGCCCATGGGACCTTGGACATTTCCAGCATGTTTTGAGTATATGCCTGCTAATCAGATACATGCTACAAATTATTCTCTCTCATGTTTACAGTTCAAGCTGCCTTTTCTGAAGTATACTGTATACAATAAACTCTCACCCACCTTTAATCCCAGTACTCAGAAGGCAGAGGCAGGAGGATCTCTGTGAGTTCAAGGGCAGCCTGGTCTATATAGAGAATTCTAGGTCAGCTTAGGGAGACCCTGTCTCAAAAAGACCAAACAAACAAAAAACAAACAACTATACCCTCTTTAGCTGTGTACATCACTAAATTCTGATAAATGTAAAGACACAGGAACCACCCAGGACTGCCACCTCCCCAACCAACACCGCTCATCTGTCACTACAGGTTGTGTGAGGTGCTGCCTCTTCCCTGTTTTTGTTTTCACTCTGGGAGGGCGGAGGGTGTTTCTCTTACCCTTTTTTGGCAGGGAAAGAGATTGCAAAAGGGTGTCACTCTGTAGCCCAGGCTAGCCTAGAACTTGCTAGGTCACCCAGGCTGCCCTCAAACTTAAAGCAATCTTCCTAAGTGCTGGGAATTACAGACGTGCACCACATGTCCAGTAATGTGCTTTTATTTTACTTACATTTTTACATCTTTTTACATTTATTTATTTACTTTGTCAGGAAGGAGGGGTACATGTGCCACAGTGCTCATGTAGAGATCAGAAAACTTGTGAGAAATCTAACACCACCATGTGCATTCTGGGGATGGAACTCAAATCCTCATGTTTGGCTGCAAGCACCTTGACCCACTGAGCCATTTCACCAGCCCAAAAGACTGATTTAGGGGAGGGGGGGAGGCCTAAAAGACTGATTTAGAGGGGGCAGGGAGAGGAGGGGAGAGATCGGGCGAGCATACAGATGCCACAGTGCACCTGCAGAGGTCAGAGGACAACTTGTGCGAGTAAGTTTTCTCCTTCCATCATGTGGTTCCTGGGGGATGGAATTTAGGTTGTCACACCTCGTGGCAAGAGCCTTTAACCACTAAGCTATCTCACTGGTCCAGCTTTTCATCTTTATTAACTTGGTTAATCCAGCTACCTCAATAATTCATATGTGGAAAACTTTACCAATATGCTTATTTCCAAATGCCTTCTCCTACCAATATTAGATATACAGCAAACAAACTGTCTTGTTCTTCAATTTTTAATTTTATATTAAATACTATATTATATTTTGGGGGAAAGGGTCTCACTACAAAGTCCTGGCTGGCCTGGAACTCGCTATGCAGGCTAGACTGGCCTCAAACTCTGAGATCTACGTGCCATTGTCTCTGCCTCTGCTGGGATTACAGGTGTGTACCACTATGCCTAGCTCTTAGTCTTCAACTTAAACTAGGGGTTTACTCACCAAAATAACCTAACCTGAGTCTAATCTGGGCCAGACAACACAACAGAACAAAGACAAGAAGTACCAGACATAAAGAATTTGATTTGTTGGGCGGGGCAGCAGACACCTTTAATCCCAGGACTCAGGAGGCAGAGGCAGGTGGATCTCTGTGAGTTCAAGACCAGCCTGGTCTACATAGTGAGTTCCAGGTCAGCTGGGGCTACAGGGAGACCCTGTCTCAAAAAGGCAAAAAAAAAGCAAACCTCTATCCAACACCACAAGCTACCCTGACAGAGGTGTGGCCACTTAAAACAAACTACGGACATTCTAAGCTACCTGGGGACACAGAAGAGGGAGTCCCAGAGGCACCTTGGGAGTACCATCTGTCACCACACTGTCATAGTGGGGACAGATAAGAAAGGCGGTCAATGAGGGTTCTATTTTGAAATTTTTTTAAATAAAAAGTTTCTTTTTAGCGGATGGAGAGATAGCTCAATGTGTGAGAGCGTTTACTATAAAGCCTGAGAACCAAGCTGAATCTCAGCACCCACCTAAAAAGCTAGGCATGGGCACATAATGTGCCTATAACACCAGTGCTGTGAGGATGAGACAGGACTGCGGGGGCTTACTACTCACCCACCCAACTTCAGGTTCAATTACAGAGTCTATCTTAAAGGGAATACAGTAGAGTGATAGAGGAGGACACCTGACACACTCTTTTAGCCTCTGCAGGTGAGCACAGGTGCACACAGGCACCTACACACACCTGCATGTGTGTGCACCCCCTTCCACAGCTTTAGGGATGGGAGATGCAATACAGCAATGCTCCTGAAGGCTCAGCGTGAGGTAGGCAGCATGCTGCAAGTTTGTCCCCTTTCATTACTGGCTGTCAGGAATAAGTTATAGGGAATAAGTAACCATACTCACAGCACATCTGCATCTAAGCAGCATGTCAAAAGCTGCAGTATACTCAAAATCTGATCATACTATGTAGGGTTGCCTCAGGATTTCTGTGTCTTAGCCCTCAGGAAACTCAAGGTCCCCCCTTCTGGAAGTGAACCTCGCTGATCGTACTGAGGACACAGGACCCAGGTTCCAGCCCTGTAATAAGTCTTATTGCAGAGAACCAGGCCCAGTCATTAGCGGTGGGGACAGACCAATGAAAAGCCAACTCACCCTAGACCATTCGACAATACAGTCCAAGCAGAAATAGTGGGCACAGGTCTCTGGAGTGCCCACAGCCTGGTCTCTGAATGCATTGAGGCAAATAGGGCAGCTCTCTGCATCATCATCAGAATTGAGTGCGCTGCTAGTTTCCAGCTTCCCTTGAGTACCCACTGCTGCCACTGATGTTTCTATTCCATCTTCTGAATCTTCAGAACCTTGAGTAAGTGGAAATGTTATACTTTAGTAAAATACAGAAATGGTTGCATGGACAGGAGTACTGTCTTGAGCAGACCCAAAGTATACTCAGGAAACCAACTAGCTTCTAGCCAGAAACCCAGCTCCTCACAGTACATGCCTCCCATCTCCTGCAAGGCCACATGCAGAGTATGCCCACTCTGAGGAGCCCTGCTAACCACAGCTGCTTTGGCTCCTCACGTGAAGCCTCTGAGCATAGTTGCTCTGAGCTAAGGGGAAAGAAATACTGGCTAAGCAGCCATACTAGCTCCTCAAACCTGAGCCTCAGAGTAGATGGAGCTGATTACTACTGACTCTCCAAGGATGCCCCCTTGGGATAACAACCCTTGCAGGCTATACATGTCTCTCAACACAATGATAACAAACATCTGCCTCCAGATGAGACCTCCTTCTTGGGTTTCTCCTTCCCCTTGCTTGTGTGACGCAGACAGAAGATTAGGCCACTGCCTACACCAGATCTGGTCCATTTCTCAGCAGTACGAGACAGGGGCCAGGCCAGCAGAAGAGCATGAAAGTGCTTTCAATCCAACACATCCTCCCTCACATTGACAAACCATACACAAGTCACTGATACCAGAGAAGCAGATTCTCATGGGCCTCAGGACTGTGTTCCTTTTGGTTAGGGATACTAAAGGCACAAGGATGCCCTTCCTGAGTCCTGCTGCTATCTGGAAAAGGAGAATAATCTCTGCTCAATCATAAAAGGTGAACTCTTTTCTTTCTTTCTACAAGAATTTTTTTTTTATATTAGTTTATTAGAGGTGGGGGTCTGAAGACAAGCTGTGGGAGTTGGTTCTTGCCTTCCATCATGTGGGTTCCAGGGACTGAACTCAGGCTGTCGAGCTTGGTAGCAAGCACCTTTACCCACTGAGTCATCTTGCCAGCCCCTGTTGACTGTTTTTTGAGACAGGGTCTCACATAGCTCAAGCTGGCTATATAGATGACAATGACCTTGAATTCCTGATCCTTCTGCCTATATACCTCAAGTGCTAGGATTACAGGAGTGTATTTACTACACAGATGAGGTCTTTCAAAGCACACAGGCTCTCAAGCTGTTTGCAGAGAGAGGTCAGAGAAGCTGCTCCTGCTAGCCTAGAAAGACACAAAGTACTAGCATGCACAATCAAGGAAGGGGGGTGACCCCAGGGGCTGAGGATGGTCTGTCAATAGCCAGCTAGAAGATGGGGCTTCATTCCTTCAAACCATGAGGAATCTGCCAGAACACTGGAAGAGGATCCAAGCTCAGAAGGAGAGTACAGTCTGGCTGACACTGTGAAGTCACCTGGTGATACCTGAGCAGGGGACCCAGCTGACCCATAGAAACATGGAAATAATAAACACGCTGCTCCTAGATCCTGAGTTTGTGGTCACACAGCACAAGGGAAAATGAAAGGGATGCCCACAAAATTTTGAAAATCATTAAGTGGGTAACAGAATAACAACTTTAGCTTTCTTGTGTGGTGAAGGGCCCCTAGCAGCAGGATCAGCTAAGAGCTAAGTGATCTGATTCTTCCTATGGAATTTGAAGGCAGGGAACTAGCTGTCTCACTTTGCCTCAATTCCATACAGTGCCTATAGAATGCCTCTGAATGCTAGGAATGACCTCTAACAGTCTGAAGGTAGAAAAAAGGCAGGTGCAAGTGGCCAAAGCCTTGAGCAGTCTCCCTCATTGAACTCTTGTTTGGGTTACCAAAGAATGCCCTTGATACCCAAGTGAGGTACACATGAGGGCCAGTACCAAGAGGACAGCAAGCAGCTGGCCTAGAAGCCAGGTACATCTAATGGTAGGGTCTCTGAGACTAGCACATCAATAGTGAAACACTGAAGAGTCAGGGTTGGTGAGCCAATTGGAGAAGGGCTGTCTTGGGGTAGAGCAGCTGTGCAAGGCTCTGGCCATTCAAAGCAATCCATGCATGCAATAGAAAGCCACAATTTGGAGAGTTGGGTAAAGTGGGTACTGAGCACGAGGCAGCAAAATCCTCCTTCTTTTATCTCTCAAAGTAAGATATAAAGAGATTAATGCTACTGAAACTGAGGAACACATTTGAGTGGCCACACATGTTGCCCAGAGCGTAACTGTCCACTCAGGTACTATTCCTTGAACTCTGTAGTAATTCCAAGGGACAAACCTCTACCAGTGTACACGAGTCAGGAATTTCCTAATGATGTCACACCGTAAGCTTGCAGACGTCCTGAAGGAGGTCCCAGGCCACATAACCCTTGGAACATGCTAAGCTGTTCTACACCTGGAAGATGCTAGCAGCTGGCCCTTGTGAGATGGACAGGGCCTACCAAGACCTCCCTGGCCATCACGTGAGAAACTCTAACTAGTCATGTTCTCCTACAGCTTGTACTACTCAGTGTTCTTAGAAAGAGGTCTAGAGATCAGACCACTACAGCTCACATCAGAACCACATCAGAAGTGAGCTGTTGTTCCAGTAGCAGGTGACTGCTGGAGTGTGTGAGCCAATGTGGACAGCTGTGGATGTTTTATCATAGACCATCTCCTCACAACATGGAAACTCAGTGCCAACAATCTTACCAGATCTATCTTCTGGGTCTTCCTCCTCAGACAACCCCTCTGTTTCTTCCCCATCTGTGTTGTCTTCATGCTCACTGCCACTGTAGTCTTCAGAGTCTCCACTGTGACCATTGCCACTTTCTTCTAGACCACAAAGTGAAAAAACATAGGCCCCAGGAAGCAGTGTCACAACCCAGGCAGCAGAGAGCCAGGACCACGCTGGAAATGTACAGGGGTGTTTAAAGGCCACCTGTCAAAAGGACTGCCAGGCTACCAGGGTTGGGGTGCTGGGGTACAGGGGCACATGGTGGGAAAATGAGCCTCCTTTCTCTGAATTTGTGCTGTTTACATTAAAAATAAGACAAAGTAAGCCAGGTATTGTGGCACACACCTTTAATCCCAGCACTTGGGAGGCAGTAGCAGAGGGAGGCAGAGCTCTGTGAGAATCTAGGCCAGCCTGTTCTGAGTTCCAGACCAACTGGGGATACAGGGAGACCCAGTCTCAAAAATAAATAAATAAATAAATAAATAAAAAATAAATAAATAAAAGAGGATGGCCTGAGATGCCAAAAAACAAAACAATAACAAAAAACACACTAAGTGGCTTGAGATGCAGCTCAGTTAGTAGACTATGCGTATCTGGCAAGCACAAAGCCCTGGGTTTAGATCCCCAGCACCACATAAAATTGGCTAAGTGGAGGCAAGAGGATCAGAAGTTCAAAGTCATCCTTAGTTATATAGCAAATTCAAGACCAACCTGGAATATACGAATCTCTGTCTCAAAGAAAAAGAAAAAAATCTATAATTCCTATACTCAGAAGGCTTAGGCAGGATTGCAGTTCAAAGCCAGGCTAGGCTCATAGAAAGACCTTGATTAAAAAGCTAGGGAAGGGGACTAAGAAGCTAAAAATAAAGCTCAACAACAGAGTCTTACCTAGCTTGCACAAAGCCTTGGGTTCCATTCCTAGTAAACCCTCCCCCCTACACAGAAAAAAAGACCAAGAATAATGACACATGATTCTGGTCCTACCTACCAGCTATTTGGGAGGCTGAGGTGGAGGGACTCACTGGAGTCTAGGAGTTCAAGGACAGTCTGCACAACATAGTGAGACACGATCTCAGAATCAAGACAAAACAAAAAAAAAAGCAAATTAACAAAAATGAGTGGGGCATGGTGGCGCATGCCTTTAATCCCAGCACTAGGGAGACAGAGGCAGGCGGATCTCTGTGGGTTCAAGGGCAGCCTGGTTTACACAGTGAGTTCCAGGACAGCTGGGGCTACAGGGAGACCCTGTCTCAGAAAGACCAAAAAAAAAACAAACCAAAAAACAACAAACAAGAATAAATATACTATGCTTTTATAATTTAAAATCAAAGATCAACTTTTTAAAGGGGTTTAAAGGAAAAACTGACACTCAGGCTCCCAAGGGGACCAAGCAAACTGGAGAAAAGTACCAGGCGCTGCTCTTTGCAGACACCCTCCCAGCAGTGGACAGCTTACCAGCTTCACTGGCCAGTTCTGAGGGGACGACTCTTGGAGGTCCATTTGGCCCAGGGCTGTGGGCCACAAGCTCATCCAAACTGTCGTCATCCATTGCTGCACATTGGAGGTCAGCTCTAAAAGAGACCAGAGCCAGGTTAATTCCAAACTTCTCTAATTACAAAGCCTCCTCTGAAAGGTGCCATCCCTCCAGGTCACCTCCCTGGAGATATGAGCATTGTCATACGTGTAAAATTTGAGCTGTGACATACAACACACAGAACAACCCCATCCATAAAGCTGTGTGCAAATACAAAAAAAGATAGAGACTCCTGTTTACAAAACCAAAAGCAAAGCAGGATCCCAATTCATAAGGACTAGCAATGTTTTCATCCGAGCATTCTTGAGGAGTCCCAACCCCCAAAATGAGCCAAACAGACTTGTGAGCTGAGGCAGAGCAGCACTTTTCAACTGAGTATGGGTCACCACAAGGATTTCGGTGATGAGAAGCCCATTTGCCTGCCACCAACTGGGCATGTCACTCTTGGCCAATGCTGGCCTACTGGCTTCCCTCTGCTTAGTTGGCTGCCATCAGGAGAGGTTCCTGAAGCCTTGCCTCCTGGGGACTATGGTATCCCTGTGCTGTCCAGGCTGGGAGGCAGAAGGAGCAATATAGGCTATGCCTCTTCTGACTGTCAGTGGGGACGGCTACTGGGCCTGCATAAAATACAATGTGGAACTCCTATATAAACAACTTCAGAAATGCCACTAGACATGACCCTCCCTCTAGACCAGATCCTCAATCTTTGGTTCCAGAAATAAGAACCAATCCCTATATAGTACCCTTCTTCATCACTGCTGCACACCTCCCTTCCCAGTCATTCCTGGAGAAAACATCTTTTAAGGAATTCATTCAGAACTCAAAGGGCACAATGAACAACTCAGCAGCCCACCCTACAGCATCATGTGCTTCCCACCCAGCCCAGTGTCCACAGAAAAAGCAGCACAGGGAATCTGAGAAGTAGGGCTCGTTAAGATGCGAGCCTCGCTCCTGAATCCCACAAATACAAGCGTGTTTGCCTCCCTCAGCCTCAGCGATCACATGGACTGTGCACTCACTGCCACAGGGAAAGGTGTAACCCTTCTCCGAGGGGGCAAAGGCCACCTCAAGGCCAGGACCACCAAGCCCTACTGAAGGTATGTTAACCTGAGGAACATCAATGGCCACATGATGCGACTACCTATAACAGCAAAGTGAAAAGTAATTTGGATAAGCTGTTAACCTTTCCTCCACCTGATGCTCAAAGGTGGTAACTGGCCATGGTCCCCCTTTCAAAGGTACTTGATGCATATAGCAACTTGGAAAGGAGTCCTGCCCATAGACTCCTGTTGAAACCTCACCTCTGGGAGAGACAGGCAGACTAAGAGAGACAGTGCTATGCTTCAATGCCCTACTGTACAGCACAAGGTACACAGAGTCCCCGCCCTGAAGAAACAAAGCTAGGGAGGGAGTATACACACTCTCACAACTTATCAACAGAACTTCAAAAACAATGAAGCATAACCCCTAATACCACCCAGGGGAAAAAGGTCAGAGCTGGAGTCTGTTCCCAGGTCTGACAACCCCAGAGCAAATCCTCACTTTGACAGAGTGTTTCACACACAAAGTGGTAAATACGAACACATGACTCTTGGCCTCTCCTTTACTGCCCTGGGACTGAGGCCATGATAAGGGGTGATGACCAAATATAGTAGCTCAAGAATAAGGCTGGCCATGAGTCCCCATACCTGGGGACCAAGTGGATAAAGTCCTGAGAGCCTCTGCAGCCTGCACTTGCTGGTATGGAAAAACTTCCAAAGGCTCCTGGCACAGCCCTCTAGGACAGGGAGAAGCTCTGCCTAAGGCTGAGTGACATCACTTCCTAGACCAGCATGATCCAATGGCTGCTGGAGCCAGAGCAGAATCCAGGCAACCTGAAAAGGTGCTTCTACAGCCAGGAAGAGGGAACAAGATCACTTATTTCTTGTGTGTGTTGCCTGCATGTGTGTAAGTACACCTGTGTCATGCAATGCCCATGAAGATAAGATTCCCCTGGAATGGATGGTTGTTAACGGCCATGTGGGTGCTGGGAATCAAACCTGGGTCTTCTGCAACTGCTGCCAGTGCTCTTAACCACTGAGCCATCTCTATGGCCCCCAGGAACAAGATCATGATCTAAGATTGCCAGTGCCCCCACCCAGGATCCCCAATCAGACACTGCTAATGAGACCCCTAGCTTTCAGAGTCCCTAGTCCCACCAGTAGCTCCAGCTTAAACATATCCACCTTGCTACACCGTCTCATCTGCTGGAGACAATGGTCCAAGAAGCCATTCCTGCAGGAAGCTTACAGCTCTTCCTGGCCTCTGGCCACCACTGTTGGTGCTGGCAGAGCTCTGAGGTGGAGGGCTCTCCTAGGAGGTTTTAGGGAAAAAAGCAGAACAGCAAAGCTATCTGTTCTTTGAAACTCTGAGGAGCTAACACAGTCATAGTTACAACTGTTAAGTCACCAAAATGGCATAGACCAATGGTACCAAAACTGCGTGAGGTCTTGTGCCTGGGAGTCCAGCCTGACCACTGAGCAAGCCTGCAATTCCAACTTCTCTGTTTGGGTCTTTATCATTGTTCATTCATCACATGCCATACCAGACATAGTTAAGACCTCAAAACTATAAACCTCAATAGAAGTCAACAAGCTAGGAGGCCTATGATGTACTCTGCTGGGCTAGACACCATGGTACGAGGCAACCAGGACGCTGTGCAAACCGGCAGAGTACAGTGCTGAGAAGTGCCAAGTGTTGCTGTTTTCACTCAACATTAGTCTCATAAGAATGAAAACCGAGTGGTCTTGGGGGAGAAGGAAAGGATGTTGAATTGCAAGCCAAGCGCAACCTCAAACTCAAGCCTATCCACTTGCCCTCCCAACCACTGGCTGCTATTTTCTGTTGCAGAGTTCTACTCTGGAGGAGACGACGGGGCAAACAAGAAGACATGAAGGCTTAAAGGAGCAGCGCTTGCTCTGCCACTCCGCAGTGGTATGACGCTGATGAGTAACTTCACCTCTCCGGGCTATGGTTGTAAAACTCCAATCAAAGGGGCAGCCTACTCCAGAGACTGCAGTAGGGCCACCCGAGTAAGGAATTTGATAACCGCGACACCATCCACACGATGGTAAGTGCAGACCGAGTGCTGGGGCGAGGGCCGCCAGGAGCGTGAACACGGTGGCTCAAAGTTACACCCTTCTCGTGCACCGGGCGGGGTGGCCTGCACCGTGCCCAGCCCGCCGGGCCCCGGGTCTGAGTCCTCCGGCGCCCGGCCCGCGGCCAGCGCGGCATAGGCCTCGCCCGCCCCAAGGCCGCACACAAAGCGCACGGCACCCTCCGGCGGCTCACGCGGCCGGACGCAAAAGGGACCCCGGGCCGGAGCGGCCATCGCACGTACACGGGATCCTTGCGCCTCCCGGACGCTCCCGGACGCTCCCTCCTCCGCCCGAACGAGACGACGACTAGGCCCGACCGCCACCGCCGCCGCTACTGCCGCGCGCGCGCCCCGACCCGGAAGTGCACCAGGCCGGCTTCCGGAACCTTCTGCCTTGCCCGTCGGTGGGAACTACGGAGACCAGAGCCGGGAAGACACCGCTGTCGAGGATGTCGAGGCTTCGGAACGGCCCTTCCACCTCGGAGCAGTGGCTAGCGCAGAGGCACTGTCCGGAGAGCTGGTGTCTTGCAGGACAGATGCTGTCTAAGCCCTAGTCAGAACACCGGCCCACCTGCGCTCCCCGAGTAGTTGGTACAGCCCGAAGCCCCGCCCACCGCCGGGAGCGAATGGGCGTGGCACATGGTCCACGCCCCTTCTGGTTCCGCCCATGTCTGCTCCGCCCTCCCCAGAGCGCCACCTCCTGGCTGCAGTGTTTCGTTGAGGCGGTCTGCTGCGGGAGCACCGGAGGAAATCCTCTGCATGTCCCCCTTAGGTGCCCATTCTCCTTCCAGGAGTAGGCTTAGAGCTCAAGATGGACCTGTCCTGTGTGTGCAGTCTCCTCCATTCCCTCCGGCCCGGTGAAAGGAGGCACAGTAAATCATGAACACTGTAGAGAACTCAACTACGTGGTAGACGTAATGGGAGGGACGGAGAGATGGCTCAGCAGTTAAGAGCTCTGGATGCTCTTGCAGAAGACCCGAATTCAGTTCCCAGCACCCACATGGCAGCTAACAACCATCCGTAACTCCAATTCCGGGGGACCCTATGCCTTCTTCTGACCTCTGTGGGCACTGCACAACACAAGTGCACTTACACACATGCAGGCAATACCCTCATACACACGATAAAAATAAAAGCTGGGTGTGGTGGCGTATGCCTTTAATCCCAGCACTGGGGAGGCAGAGGCAGGCGGATCTCTGTGAATTCAAAGCTACCCTGGTCTACATAGTGAGTTCCAGGCCATCTGGGACTACAGGGAGGCCCTTTTTTTTTTTTCATCTTTTTGACACAGGATCTCCCTGTAGCCCCAGCTGGCCTGGATTTGCTGTAGAGACCAGCCTGGCCTCAAACTCACAGAGATCCACCTGCCTCTGCCTCCCCAGTGCTAGTATTAAAGGCGTGCGTCACCACACCCAGCCATAAAATACTTTTTAAAAAGACAGAATGGGGGGCTGAAGAGATGGCTCAGTGGTTAAGACCACTGGTTGTTCTTGCAGAAGACCCGAGTTCGAATGCCACACCCACATGGCAGCTAACAACTGTCCATAATTCCAGTCCCAGGGGATCCAACAGCCTCTTCTGACCTCCGAGGGCATTGAAGGACATGGGTGCACTTACCTACATGCAGGCAATACACGCATACACATTTAAAAAAAAAGACAATGGGATTGAGGTGCAGCTCGGTGGTAGAACTTGACGGTCAATAAGGTTTTGAGGAAGACCATCATGCTGAGTAGAAAACTAGACCCCCAAACAGAGGCAGACCTAGAGGCTGAGGAGCTGCAGAGGGCACCTGGGTTCCGAGCAGAGACAGCACTGGCTCACTACACCTAACTGGCCATTGTGTAGTCCAGAGACTACCATGGCTTGGAAGGGATGGCCCTTGATAGGAATAGAAGACGGAGTCTGTGGATTTCCCCCTGGATATGAGTGGGTAGAGGAGAGGAAGGATGTGAGGATGGGAAGATGGGAGCCTACTCAAGAGGGAGAAGGCTGAGGGTATCCTCAGAGAGCCAATGTGCCAAAGGCTGTCTCAAAGATAAAGCTGTGGTAGTGGGACCAGCATCTGAACCTCAGACCTCCAATATTAAGAAGTCCAGATTCAGGGTGGAGAGATGGCTTAATGGTTAAGAGGACTAGCTGCTCTTGCAGAGGACCTGGGTTCGATTCCCAGAACCTACATGGCAGCTAACAATCTTCCATAACTCCAGTTCTGGGGGATCTGACACCCTCTTCTGACCTCCTCAGGCATTGCAGGACACAGGTGCACTTAACATTCATGCAGACAATACATTTATACTCATTAAAAAGTAATAAATAGGGGCTGGAGAGATGGCTCAGCAGTTAAGAGCACTGACTGCTCTTGCAGAGGACTCGGGTTCGGTTCCCAGCACCCACATGGTAGCTACGACCCGTCCTTAACTTCAGTTCTGGGGGAATCCAAAGCCCTCTTCTGACCTCCGTGGCATTGCATGACATGGGTGCACTTACATACATACAGACAATACACTCATACACATAAAATAAAAATGTTTTTAAAAGTAATAAATAAGATATTAAATAATAATAATAATAAAATCTTTTTAAAAGTCTAGATTCTACAAAGGAGAACCAAGGAATTTAAAGGTGAGAGACAGGGAGAGGAGAATCAAGCGCATGCACCAAGAAGAGACCTGTGGGCTGTGGATATGACTTGGTTCATAAAGTATTTGACTAGCATGCACAAAGCCCTGGGTTCATCCCTAGCACTGAAAAAACAGAGTGTGGTGGTTCATGCTTGTAATCTCAGCACTTAAGAGGTGGAGGCAGGAGAATCAGAAGTTCAAGGTTATCCTTGGATCAGCCTGAGATTCTATCTCAAAAGGAAGGATGGGGGTCGAGGGGTGAGTGAGAGGTGCTGGAGAGAGATGGCTCAGAGGTTAAGAGCACGTGCTGCTCTTGCAGAGGCCCTGGGTTTGGTTCCCAGCATCTACAATGAGTGACTTACAACCATCTGTAACTCCAGTTCCAGGGGTTCTGATGTCCTCTTTTGGACTCTGTGGGTACTGCATACACATGATGCACATACAGTCAAGCAAGCACACATGCATAAACATAAATTAAAATAAATTAATTAATTGGATCTGAACACATTAGGAAAAGCAACTATGGACTGGAGAGATGGCTCAGTGGTTAAGAGCACTTGCTGCTCTTTCAGAGGACCTGACAGTTCCTAATACCCATGTCAGGTGGTTCACAGCTGCCTGTAACTCCAGCTCTAGGGAATCCAACACTGTCTTCTGACCTGTGCAGGCACCGCCCTCCCTGCCATGTGGCATACGCATAAATTTTAAAAAATATATGGCGCTGCAGAGATGGTTCAGCAGTTAAGAGCACTTGCTGCTCTTGCAAAGGATACAGGGTTTGATTTCCATTACCTATATGACAGCAAACAACCATCTGTAACTCCAGTTCCAGAGGATCTTGTGCCCTCTTCTGTCCTCACTGCATGCATGTGGTGCATTTAACCTGCAGGCAAAACACACATAAACTATACTTAAATATAAATAAAATCTTTTTAAAAATGAACTAGAATTAAAAAGAAAATGGGGCTACTGATGCTCTGCGAATGTCAACACTGACAGATGGCAGAGGCTGACCAAGAACAGAAGAACTCAAAAGAACGGGCAGGCACAGTGAGCAGCAACCTCTGCTCGCAGTAGGGTCCCTGGGAAAGGAGATAAGTGGCCAAGAAGAAGCCGTTCAAATGAGTTTTCTTCAGTTTACGGTGGAAGAGACAGCAGTATTGCTACAGGCTGAATGGAAGGAAGAAAGTGTGGTACCAGAAAGGGGATCCTTGGAACAAGTCCTTTCTAGGGGCCATATCAAGTTAGATCAGGATGACGTGGGTGGTCTGAGTGTTACCCAGGCCATGGACCTGGATTCGGGTACTTTTGACTATTAGCTGTGTAGCTTTAGGTAAGTTTCTCACCCTCTCTGTGCCTTAGTGTACTTTGCTTATAAGATGGAAATGTTGGGGCTGGAGAGATGGCTCAGTGGTTAAGAGCACTGACTGCTCTTGCAGAGGACTTAGGTTGGATTCCCAGCACCCACATAGTAGCTAACAACTGTCTGTAACTCCAGCTCCAGGGGATCCAACACCCTCTTCTGACTTCTGCAGGCATTGCACAACACAGGTGCACTTAAACCCATGCAGGCAATACACTCATACAAATAATAATAATAATATAATAATAATAAAATAAAAGATGTGAATGTTGGTCATACCTGTGGCTGAGATCGTTGTGAGGAATGGTTGGGTGAGTACAGGGAGAGAGCTTCAGTTGGGGTCCAGCATGGTAAATGGGGCTAGGATAACACCCTTACCCTGCACTAAATACCTCTTCCTCCCACGCAGCTTGATCTCTACATGTTCTGGTTCCTCTGTGAAAATAGTGTGCCTGCTGAAGACCATTAGATATAGGGGTACCTATAGACACCCACAAAAGCTCCTAAGGGGAAAGATAATCAGCCTCTGGTGAACCTGGAGTCCCTTGAAGAGTAAGTAGCCAGCCTCTTCTTTCCTCTGGAGCTGCCTTTGCAAGAGGAGGAGCTGCTGAAAAAATGGCCTAATAAACACTTGCAGCCGCAATGAGACACAAAGAACTCTTCCCCAGCCAGCATCTTTGGGTAGTACACAACCTACCCCGCCATGCCAACCCACGCTTATCTTTAAGTGTAGGAGGAAAGGTGCCTACAGGGAGCTGCCCAAGGCCAAACGAGACACTTTTAGTTCCTTTCCTTTGCTGTGATAAAACATCACAAAGGCAACTTAGATAGCCCTGGCTGGCTTCAAACTCACTATGTAGACCAGGCTGGCCTTGAACTCACAGAGGTCCTCCTCTTTAAATGTTGGGGCTGGAGAGATGGCTCAGTGGTTAAGAGCACTGACTGCTCTTGCAGAGGACTTAGGTTGGATTCCCAGCACCCACATAGTAGCTAACAACTGTCTGTAACTCCAGCTCCAGGGGATCCAACACCCTCTTCTGACTTCTGCAGGCATTGCACAACACAGGTGCACTTAAACCCATGCAGGCAATACACTCATACAAATAATAATAATAATATAATAATAATAAAATAAAAGATGTGAATGTTGGTCATACCTGTGGCTGAGATCGTTGTGAGGAATGGTTGGGTGAGTACAGGGAGAGAGCTTCAGTTGGGGTCCAGCATGGTAAATGGGGCTAGGATAACACCCTTACCCTGCACTAAATACCTCTTCCTCCCACGCAGCTTGATCTCTACATGTTCTGGTTCCTCTGTGAAAATAGTGTGCCTGCTGAAGACCATTAGATATAGGGGTACCTATAGACACCCACAAAAGCTCCTAAGGGGAAAGATAATCAGCCTCTGGTGAACCTGGAGTCCCTTGAAGAGTAAGTAGCCAGCCTCTTCTTTCCTCTGGAGCTGCCTTTGCAAGAGGAGGAGCTGCTGAAAAAATGGCCTAATAAACACTTGCAGCCGCAATGAGACACAAAGAACTCTTCCCCAGCCAGCATCTTTGGGTAGTACACAACCTACCCCGCCATGCCAACCCACGCTTATCTTTAAGTGTAGGAGGAAAGGT